GAGGAGGAGGAGGAGGAGGAGGAATCCCAAATATCCAAATTGGGAGAGAGATATAAAAAAGGGGGGGAAGACAAGTTGCAGCTATGATCACGCAATTAAAGTCCTGTCCCTTTTATACATGCATTGACAGATGTAAAAAAAAAAAAGGTCAATGTTTCAATTGCACTATTGTAGCTATCATCTTAGCTTTTTTTGACACACGTACACTGGATGTTCCTAGATCAAGGTATCTACTAGTACCTATTTTGACTAGCATGCTCGGTAGGCCGAGACAGAGATCTTTTGCATCAGTAGACTCAGAAATAGGCACCTGCTGATCTGAGTAAGCAGCCTAATTTCAAAAGCCCTTTGCCAGCAAGCCAATCTTGTATGAAAAATAATCTGTCTCTTTCCTGGCAGCTGGAAATGGATTGTTTCACCACTGCTGACATATTTCATGCCCCCCAGCAGGACATACTTGTAGGAATTCTGCTCTTAACACACACAAAAAGATTATATTCTCCTGTCTTAACAGGCAATTCCAGGAAATGCATGGATACCTGGCCTTACTCTTTGTTTTCTTGCTTTGTGATCTAAAGTTGTATATTCTTGTTCATCAGCAATAATTTGCAGGGGGGGGCACCAAATATCTATTTCCTCTTCCCCCTTCTTTCTCTCTTTCTAATCACGCTGCTCTAAGAATAAAAATCAAGTCTTTCCAGCATATGAAAAGATAATGTTGATCATCAAACCAGATAAGGATCAAAAGCTTAATTAATAATGTGACAACAAATGTTAAACACCCCCACATGCCTTTCACATGTCCACCCCCACATGTCTTCCACATGTCCACGCATCTTTCATATAGGGTAAAATTAAGCAAATATTTTGTTGTCTTCAACAAATGTCTAAATATTGACAGAGTGAATTTTAGTTACTGTACATCATATCAGGTTTTATCAATATAATTAAAATGTTAATCATTTTCAAATGTATGTTCTATGGTAAGATATTTGAGTGTGAATATGGTGATCCTGGGTATAATTACTTGACAATAACTTCCACTAACCTCAGAGGTAGCATTTATTCTTTACAAATAAGATGGAATTGTAAAACACATGGAGTGCTAGTCAAAAGATCTTTCAGTCAGTAGAAATCCAATGCTTCTTTTGATTTTAATTAAAAATGCAGGCTTCCCATTTAAATGGCAAGTAAGTAAAAATCTCATCTAATTCCATTTTTGTCTGCTTATTTGTTTCTATGCTAATCTGCCACAAACACAACTAAAACTTTTATTAAATCACTAAAGTGAATGGAAAGCATACTTTATTTATTAATTTATCCCAAAACCTTGAATTCTATCAATTATTCTGTTTTTGAGGAAGATGTACTGTAAATGAAAAGATCTTCCAGGATTCTGTTCCCATCATCCATTGCCCCTTCAGTACCCCTGCTAAAAAGTGATAGAAAAAAAATCAGCCTCAATGTATGAAGTCAGTGAACTTCAGCAGCATAATCTCCAGAAACTGACCATTCAGCTTCCTACTGTTGGGACATGAAAAAAGAAAACAAAATTACTGAAAAACCCACAAACTTAACGTAAAATAACAGTATTTACAAGATTAAACCTAACAACACAGGAAAAAAAATAATCACAACACAAAAATGAAACAACTGGGGAGAATTAGAGATAATTGCTATCCCATCCATGTGCCTAGCACATTTTGTCTCACTGCTTTTTCTTGCCTCCCTCACATTACCTCACCCCTTGACAAATACTAAGTGTAGACAGAAGGCTGTCCAACATTTTTTATGACAAGTTACTGGTGTGTGTGTGTGTGTGTTTTCGGGTCGGATTGGGCAAATTGGTAATAGCGGCAGTGGGAGACAAGCACACCCAAACCAGTAATAAAATAATTGGCAACCCCTCACTGAGGTGCATGTCCCAGATACCTCCAAACAAGCAGCAGGAATTAAGCAAGGAAAGTCCGTCCCCACCACTCGTCACGCAACTACAGATAGTCCTCAACTTACGACCACAACTTAGAGCCCAAAATTTATGTTGTTAAGTGAGACATTTGTTAAGTGAATTTTGCCCCATTTTACAACCTTTTCTTGCAGCAGTTGTTGTGCACAATCACTGCAGTTGATATGTTAGTAACCCGGTTGTTAAGTGAATCTGGTTTCCCCATTGACTTTGCTGGTCAGAAAGTGACAACAGCTGATCACCTGACCTCGGGACACAATGGTCATTATGAACCAATTGCCAAACATCTGGATTTTGATCACATGACCACGGGGCAAAGATCGTAACAGTGAAAAACGGTCCTTCGTCACTTTTCCCTGGACCGTTGTCACTTTGAACGGTCACTAAATGAACAGCCGATGACTACCTATATTTGAGAAGCTTTACGGGTGGGGGGGGGGGAGGCGAGGTGTTTTTCTTTATGTGCGCCATCTAGCGGCAGCTTGAATTTTCGCAGCCCGGATCCGAGAGCTAAAATCTTCCAAAGCTGCCAGAAGCTCCCCGCGAGTCAGCCCGTCCCCCTGCATACCTCTTCCACCAGCGTGGCCACCTGGTCAAGGGTGGCTACCGACAGGTCTCCATAAAGCAGTTGCCGGGGGTCGGGAGGTGAGCGCAAGGGTCCGGATGCCAGGCGCAGCAGGAAGACCCCTTTGGAGGCGCGACCAGCGGTGGGCGCTAAAACCAGCTCCTCGGCTAGCGCCAACTGCCCCGTTGCCCCCTGAGTGACAAACAGAAGCCGCCCGGCTGGCTCGGTATCCAGGAAAGCGCTCAGCAGCAGCCGCGCTTCGGGAGATTCCAGACAACGCGCCCAGCGCTCCGGCTCCACTCGCAAGCTGCGCGCCACCCGCTCCCCAAGCAGCGTGGCGCGGGGATTCGCTTCTAGGGAGCCCTCCTGGTCCGGGTCCTGATCCTCCGCTTTGCCCCCCATTGCTCGCCGGCTCTTCCTTCCCCGAGTGTTTTGGTCGGCGCCGCTGTTGCTTGGGCGACCAGGACGCTCTTGAGTGGGAGGGACCGGCTGCCAAAGTGAGCTCTGACGGGCTGCCCCGCCTTTCCTTCGCGGACGGACGAAGCAACCAAGAAGGGGGAAACCCGCAGCTCTCAGCACGGGCGGATGGATTCCCAGCTCTAATCGGAAAACAAGCCAGGAACTCCCAGAACTCGAGCCAAACCAAAGGCAATTTTTTGCTTCTGGCTTAACAAAACAACAGAGTTGGAAGGATTTGTAGGTCATTTAGCTCAACAAATTAAGAGTTGTAAGGTACCTTGCAGATCATTTAGTCCAAAACCCGCCCTCCACCCAAGCAGATGACCCCACCTGCACCATTTCTGACAAATGGCAGTTCAGACTCTTCTCCAAAGCCTCCAGTGATGAAGCTCCCACAACTTCCGAAGGCAACTTCTGTTCCATTGCTTGATCTCACTGTCAGAAAATTTATCCTTATTTCCAGGTCGAACCTCTCCTTGTTCAGTTTCCATCCATTATTTCTTGTCTGGCCTTCAGGTGCTTTGGAGAATAGCTTGACCACACCTCCTCTGTGGCAGCCCCTCAAATATTGGAACACTGCTATTATGTCTCCCCTGGTCCTAGACTAGCCATGACCAGTTCCTGTAAATCTAGTCCAACACGCACACCTCACCCAACCAGGAGACCCTACACCATTTCTGACAAGTGGCATTCCAGTCTCTTTTTGAAAGCTTCCAGCTTAATACAGGTAGTCCTCGACTTACGACCATAATTGAGTCCAAAATCAGTCATTGAGGCATTTGTGTAGTGATTTTTGCTCCATTTTACTTTTCTTGCCAGAGGTGAGAAGTGAACCACTGTAGTTGATATGGTTTGTATAGCATAGTGGTTCAGTGAACCTGGCTTCCCTGTTGATTTTGCTTGTCAGAAGCATGCAAAAGGTGATCACATGACCTTGGGACATAGCTTATGGTCATAAGTAGGAACCATTTACCAAGCTTCTGAATTTTGATCATACAACCAAGGGATGCTATAAACATCATGTGAAAAATGGTCGCAAGTCACTTTTTTCAGTGTCGTCGTAACTTTGAACTGTTACTAGATGAACTGTTGTAAGTCGAGGATTACCTGTACTTGGGTTCTACAAAATAATCAATTTTGCTTTAAGGCAACTGGGGGGGGGGTGTGTCTTTCAGTATCTTGTGGTTAAACAGTTCAGTTTAGTGCCTACAAACTAGGTTCACACAAATCACTCAACCAATCTCTTCCTACCTGTCACTCTTGAGTCCTTGTGACTGCCTGGACATCCCTGTGGGGTGTCATTGCCTGCTGCTTAGCTTGACTGGCCCAAGGGCACCCAATTGGCTTTGTGCCTAAAGCAGGACTAGAACTTAGAGTGTCTTTCTGTTTGCAGCCTGGTGCCTTAACCACCACAGTAAACCAAACTAGCTCTTGGGTTCATACAATCGAAGATAAAGCTAAATAAACACAAACCACACCCTTTTGTGCTATCTACAAAGGAAGTCGGTGAACAACTTCTGCTTCAATTGCTCACTTTCAGCATCAGGGATCTGTTTCTCAGCATGTGCATAAGGCACTAGATTGAGGAAAGGGGGTAGCAATCCCCCTTCCCCCCACCCAAAAAAGAGTCAAGGGCACATAATTCATGCCTAGCAATAATCACATTATGATTGTTGCAAGAGAAGGGAAATATTGCAACAGCTTCACTAGAACTTGGACCACCTTTTTCAGGCTATATCAACCACTAATCTCTTAATATACAGAAAGGACACTGATGCTATCACTTGCTCTTTGAGATTGATTGTTTTCTTGCAGTAACTTTATTTTATTTTTATTTATTTATATGTGGCCCATCTCTCCTATAAAGTGACTCTGGGCAGCATAAAATGTTGCCATTACCTAGTTTGGATAATAAAACGTCTGCAGGGAAACAACCAAGCTTGGAGAGCAGCAAGGAACTCTAATTTCAAACCCTGAGCTACGAATATTTTTCTCTTTAGGAAAGACACTTTTCACTCTGCTCTGCTCATTTTAATTGTTCCAGCACCTTGAGGCACCCCATGCTCCACTTTAATGGCCACAACAGGGAGAGTAGGAATTTAAGTCATTAAGTGAGGTGAATATGAGTGCATCGCTTAACATCACAACTTGTGAGGTAACGGGGAGGTTCTATTATGGCCAAGAGTCAAGGACCACCTGGAGGAGGATGGAGAACTAAAATTCTCAGACTGGTGGGATAGCAATTTAATGAATAGTGCTATCTCTAATCATGCCTGTTTCTTTTAAAGATCTAGTAAGTGGTGAGGGGCCTGTAGCTGCCCAGGTGTTTCTTGAACCGTAATCATTTTGTTTTGTTTTTGGTGGCTGATCTGATAAAACAATTTGAGTTTCTTTTGGGGGGAATAATACAATGAAAATAATTAGTTTGTACTTATTTAGGTGGTTAGTATATGTCTATGAACTATCTAAATTGCAATAATATAGCTGAATAAAGTTTAGGATAATGTGCATATAATGTATCCATGCTGTACATTTTATTTACTGGGTCTTTGAATTTGAAAATACTTAAAATGTTATGCTATAAACAGCCTCATATGAAGAATTCTGCAAAATTAATTTTAGATAAGCAGTGACAACTCCAAGTGTATCTTATCCAGCCTAAAGGTCTTTTTTTTTTAAAGAAATTAACCATTATTTTGAGATTCAAATAATAGGTTGCAGATCCCCGCTTTTCTCCATGGCCATATAATAAAATATTTCCAACAGACAGGCAAATGAGCCATCAGATCAAAATGTCTCCAGATAATGCAGCTGGGAAGTACGTTTTGTGAGCTATGCTATTAACATGTCCAGCAGGAACTCTGCTTTGTAGAGGCAACACAGGCAATTTATCCAGAGTCAACCGTCTGGCAAAGTTCAATGCGTTGATACCTCTTAAAGTGTTCAGCATCACACACATCAGATGTCTCATGCTAAAGTCACTCTCCCTGATAGAACAGCAGCTACTTTGCTGCTTTGCTTAATTGGTAGTTTTGAGTTTTTTATTTGGTGCTTCAACAGAATCCTCTAGGTGTTCCAACTTCATTTTGGCTGGTGATCTGTTCCCCGCAGCAGTCTGGGAAGCTTTGAACGCCTCTTTCAAGTGGCGCAATTCTCGCTTCTCCCGACGTTCCTCCATCTCTTCAATCTCATCTGCAAACAAGGCCTTCAGAGGAGGGATCAGTTTTGGAATGGCATCAAAATCTTCAAAACGAACCTGACAAAGAAAACCAATAATATGTAACAAAAAAAACTGTACAGAATCTGTATGAAATTAACAGCCTTTAAATTTTTGTAAAGGAAGGGTTACGTGAGTAGCATAAACCTTAATACTGAACTTTTTTGAACTGTGTCGGCAGACTGAGAAAAACCTGATGAACAACTAATCTAGTGCCCAATCAATTTTTCAAGTTCACTTACATATTTAAAATGTTCTGATCTCTAGGAAAAACCATCTCAGAATTCTAAAATCGGAGTTCTTCCACTCTAACATACCATCATATCTGGTTTCTGTTGGAAAAGCCAACTGGTAACAGAACATGAATTGGCCAATAGATCACTAAACCTGACCCTCACCAGACTGATGTCACACCTAATACATAATCAGAAAGGTAATGTTGTGTGCTATAATTCTTCTTACAGTTTGGAACAAATATATCTGTATTGTTCAAGAGAACCATGTGTGTGCACACGCATGAGAGTATGAGTGTGTGCTAGAGAGAGAGACAGAAACAGTGACAGAGACAGAGAGAAGGAGGGAGGAACTCCTATGTGGCTGTAACTTCAAAGCATCTGGCGAGAGAGTGGCAGCAAGCAAAAAATCCTAAGAAACTAAAACAAAGAATATTCAATTAAACAGTTATAACATAAAGAGATAAAATAAAAATAAATATGATTTTAAAAATGAACAAAAAGTAAAGTTATACAGGTAGTCCCCAACTTACATTTAGTGACAATTCAAAGTTAAAACGATACTGAAAAAAGAGACTTATGACCACTTTTCACAATTACAACCTTTGCAGCATCGCCATGGTCATGTGATCAAAATTCATATGCTTGGGAACTGATTCATATTTATGACTGTTGCTGTGATCCAGGATCACCTTTTGTGACATTCTGACACGCAAAGTCAAAAACCAGATTCAATTAACAACTGGCTTACTAATATATCAACTATTGTGATTTGCTTAACAACTGTGGCAAGAAAGGTCGTAAAATGGGGCAAAACTCATTTAACAAATGTCTCATTGAACAACCAAAATTTGGGGCTCTATTGTGGTTGCAAATCGAGGATTACCTGTACAACATTAAGTTACTATAGGCACATAGGTTTCAAAAATAATAGAAGTGCTGTTGAGGAGTGGGCAGAGAGGTTGAGCAAAAGCCTGCATTAGAAAAAGAGATGGGACAAGCACATAAAGGTTCAGGGAAATAGCAATAACAACTTTTCAGATTAGAAAAATGATGTGGGAGAATAAGAATACCCAGGGATTTATCAAAATTGTATTTATTCAAATACAACATACTCTCTCAATCCTAAATGTACATTTGCATCACCCCTTCCTCCGAAGTGCCTAAACAGAGGCCAAAACAATAGGTGTCCAATGAGACTCTCAAGTAAATATTCTAAAGAATATTTATCTGGTTTACTTTTTAAAAAACCCATACCATAGATTACATCTCAATCACTATCACTCCTACATAAACTACGGTAATTTTAAAACATTTTCTGCTTCACTTAGCAGAATTATTAATGGCTTTGTGAGAAACCAACATTTACAGTCTCCAGAAAATGAAAATGCACTATATCTATAGAGGGATTGAAAAGATGAGATATGAAGGAGGAAAACTAAGCTGATTCTAAGTCTAATTCTGAACTAAACATCTCAAAACTCTTTAAAGCA